TTAATGTACAGAATTTCCGAGATTTATTTATTGTACACTGCAGTGTTTTGTCCTAGTAAGAGACTCTCCGGTTGTATGTACCCACTACCCTACTAGGGATCGAACTCAGGACTATTCAGAGGCCCACTGTTTTCTACCTCTGTCAATCCGCAGAGGTCTTCAGTTGGTATCCACTTCACTTTCAGCTGGTTGGATGTACAGGTAGCAGTTTCTCATAAGAACGTCGAAGCTGTAGACCACAGAACTTTGATCTAGTGACTGAATGGTTAGTACGTTTGCCGCCAGACGTGGAGGTTCTCGGTTCGATCCCTGATGGGGTCATACTGCTGGAAAGTCTTATACTAGGATGAAACAGCTATCCAGTCCTCCCAGGTTCTCCATGTGATGTCAGTTCGTGATGAATACTACCCTAGAAAAATTAAAAATAGGCCCTATAAACCTCTCTAAAAGTCTATAACATACACTTTATCTGGTGTATATTTAACTTTAATTTCATTCAAACTCTATAAACAATGATAATTACATGGGTTTAATATGTTATTGAGTTTCCCTGACCATATACAGACCGTGAATATCCTCTTGAAGTACCTGAGAGACAGAGAGAGGAAACGGGTTGTTTTTACCTGACCACAGAACCTTAAGGATGTCTGCTTGACGTTGATCACACAACCTTTCTAAGGATGTGTTTGTTCGTAGGGTTGATTGCATAATAAGAGGACTTTATCACCAGTTCTGTACAGTCTTAGCCAGTGACACTGCCAACTGACTGACAGAGTTGGAAAAGATTAGTTCCTACAATGAAAAACATTCCTTTAGTCCACGGAGTTCCAGTGTAGGTGATCAGAATTTAAAGTAAAAAGTCAAACTCCAAGTGGAGCTGCTGTCATTGGTCTAGACTTCCAACCGATGGGTTAAATCCAGATCCGCCTACTGGTATTTGGGCAGCCAGTCAGTAATATTAGCCCCCATACAACAGGTATGGGTCGTTGCCCATTTTACAAGGTTGCTAAGTGGATTTCGATAACTGAAATCAATGATTTCGGAAAAGATTGTAATGCGACCTTGCTTAGTTATTTAAGTCGATAAGAAGAAAGGTACTAAACCAGCGTTCCTTTTAGATACCTCAATCAGTAACTTACTGCACCGTGAATAAATGGAAAACACTGACTACCAAAATATTTTCACCTCCCCTTTGATCATCAATAGACTTCTTACATGTAGTTCCAAAAGTTGTAATTTTTCTCACTATTCATTCCAAACTATCCCCAACATCTCGAACTTCTGAAACTATTATTACCGATTTGATTGACTGAGAAAGTATCCATGTGTTGCTCAAACCGCCCCCCAAACTGTGTGTAAACCCTTTCAGTGTTGGCTTTCTGTATCATATCGAACAAGCGTCACTGATCAAAACGTATAACATTGCGGTTCTACGCAACTGAAGTTCGGAAAACGTGATGCCTGAGTTAGATTGAAATCTCTTCAGCCACCTACAAAAAGCCAAAGTAGATACATGATCATTGTAGAGGGTGACTTCTATCCACATGTAGGGATATTAGGACGTGTACTTAGAAAAATTAGGAATTCCAGTCGAATGAACGCATAATTATGACCTCCTTCTAAGAATGCACAACACATACTTACCGATTTTTGCTACTTCACAAAATTAAAAAAGCAAATACCACTAGAAAGCGTAAGTATTTTGGAGTCAATCGGCAGGAAGCGTTTCGTAAGTTTCACGTTGGTTGGCATTCAGATCATCAAGGCGCATCTGCATACTTACAGAAGCCTATGACGCCTCGGAGATCTGAACCTGCGTCATCGGGAAGCATAAGTGATTTGAAAACGGATTCTAGTGATGCAAGTACATTCATAAATAATTATTCACCTAATTTCAAATACCGACGTGTTATTACTTCTTCATTTATCTTCAGATCGGATCTTCACACTTTGACTGGTTCTGGAAAACAGGCGTACTTACCTGAGGCCGATACTTGCCATATTTCATCTGGAAGTAATATTCGACTTTGTCAACCCAGAGGTGTTGTGACAGTATCCGATTGTGAAGGGTGTAATAAGCGAGTATCCAACGATAATCAAATTTCTCTACTGAAATCACAGCCGTATAAGGGCTTATAGAAAGTTGTTGTCTAACGAAACGATAACCAGTGACTTCCATTATTATCATTCCTAGTTAACCTTATTATAGATACGCTGATGGACCAAGACAGACACACAAAATCAACATAAAATCTGGTCCAGCTTACCACACCTCATTTCAGCACATCAAGTAAGAAAGCACTAAGATGAAAGACAATGAAGTACAGAAAACAGTCAAAAGGGATAGAAAGTTGTGATAAAAGAACAAGATGGGATGAGAAAATACTGAAATTCAGTGTCACGGCTGAGATGAAGACAATGTATGGATACACCTGACATCGATTCTGAGTCATATGACTAGTCTCCAACAAGTGGTTGCTGTTGTCACATGAACCTTAGCCAGCTAGTTTGCACCTTCCCACATAACTCAGACCAACAGTCAAAGAATTCATGCACTGATACCATGTGTTATTCTGGCCACCTCTAGGCTTCTTGCAGTCTGAAGCTATTGCAGCTAACATTGTGCGATAAGGCAGACGGTGACTAGGTATGCATAACCTTGCCACAGTCACCTCAGTCAACGGCGATTCACAATCGTATAAACTGACTTTTCTCTCTTCCCTAAAATTTTATGCTACCGATGTGGTGATGTCATGACACACAGCCTATGCTACGAAGGCGACGGTGGTTGAACATATGAGTCATTCTATCTTCACCTTTAAATGGTCGTATTTCACAACCATATACTGGAATAGGAAATGCAGTACAGTTAACTCGACCTTCAATAGGCAATCATATAGCAAGGGAGCGCCACAAATGGGGTAAGTTGGGAAAGGCCAAGAAAGTGTTCTGTATCTGTGCAGAGATCTCCTCGGCGATTGACCCACTAGGACTAATCCAACTCCCCAGGTAAGTCAAGTGGTCAATGCGCTCAACCACTTCATTCCCTATTGTTAATCGGGGCCCCGTGGAAGACTAGTCCTGTAGTAACAATCTGCATTTGAGTGATAAGAAACGCATCCCAAACATTCTCAAATTGCGACTCACGGTGTCCAGAAGACTACATCTTGCCAGCGTCCTCATTGGACACGACTGAGTCATCTGGGTCTACCAAGGGTTATCCTGTGATAAAATCAATCCCTGTGAAATCAGAAGGCGAGAGGAAGACCTGGATAAGTACGGCCTTGTTTCAGATTTGCAACCCTATCGACTTCTGTGTTAGAGGTCCTAAACCCATATTCCATTCCCGATAGCGCGCAACAGAATAGTAGCTAGAGTCCACCTGGAAGATTTATCTAAGTGTCCCGCCCATCGCTTCAGTTGCCTCCCCTGAGAGTGAATTTCAGACCCATTCTTCTCCGCTTTAGGCTCACTAACCATCGTTTTTCCCCCCTCCAGTTTCACTGATAAGTCTAAATAACTGTCTGCTGCTACCTGTTTGTTGACAGACTCAATCATAAGTGCTTCCAACTCCTCATAAATTGACTTATTCCCAAAAGGACACTTGGTTGACATGCAGTAGGCAGACAACACTGTCCTACTAGGTGAAAACACTGACAAAACACAGTCTTTGGAACGCGTTGAGCGAAAATTTTGTTCGATATGGAGTGTGCTTTGCAACTGTCAACTGTAAGACGATACTTCGAGACTTGATGGCACCGACTGCTAATTTAAGGATAGGGAGCAGTGGTAGAATACACCAATCACTTCACTTGGGAAGTTATTTCAGAAGGAACGGATTGATTGCTGAAAAAACTTCAGCTGCGATGCAAAAGGCCTGTTCAGCATTCGCCAACTTACACCATTCAAGTGACCAGTAAAATATCCAATTACCTATCAAAGGATGAGCATACTGCGCTACGCCCTTGTTCTATTCTGCTATACGGCTGTGAAACCTGGCCACTAAAACAAAATGTTATGAAGAGGTTACAGGCCTCCGATCATGAGTGTCCTTGAAGCATAACTCGTGGGCGGTGGGATCAGCTCATGAGCAGTGTTGAGGTGTAGGGCACTTGAAAGAAAACCAAGCCAGCCAATGAAGTTGTAAACCTTCTGTGAGTGAAATATCTTGGAAAAGTGTTGAGAACGCCGAGGAACCACCTGTCTCGATATGTCATATTAACCTAAGTAAGTTTGATTTGAAAAAAAGATAGGAATGGTCGGACCAAGACATAGCATCAGTACATAAAGTCTTTAACTATCAGTCCTTGGCTGGGACCTTCAAGACAACAGGAATCAAAGATTAGCGAATATTGATAATATGGTTGAAAATCAATTGCAATGGTGCAGATGTATTTATTCTTTGACATCATCGGGAGTTTGAACATCTTCAATAACCTTCATTTTTCGAACTCCTACTCTGGTGTACTTTAATGCCAGTCTTTTTCAACGTACTTCATCACTGCATAGCGTTGTGAAGTGTGGTGACTAGAAGCGATGCATTTCTGCATCAAGGTTCCACACTGACTTGTCTTTTTCTATATCGTTGTAATCCTTCAAACTAAGACATTTACATACATTATGTGTTGTTACTTGGAACTCCCCGTTGTTACGCTGGATCAACCTGAGTTGGCAGATGGGCTCCTATGTGTATGTCTAGATATTACCTGGATATTCATTGTTATAAATGACATAGTGGTATTTAGCAATGGAATCCAGGACACATGTTTTGTCCTACTTAGGACTTGTCAGCTGGACGTACCTGTACCCCAACAAGTGATGGCGTTCCCATCAAGACATGGGGGTCCAAGTTTTAGTGAGAAAACGACCACTACCACCAAGTCAATCATAAGCCAGCTTTAAATAGTAAATGAAATCAAAACAAATCGAACTAGGCAACACAATGAAAATGCATTTCAGATCATTTTCAAGGCATTAAATCTGTTAGAGAAAAAAAAAGTCAATACTTTAATTTATAATTGATTACTCAAACAGCGTGACCGAGCATTCTTAACAGACAAATCAGTGAACAAATTTACTCCATTATATACATAATATATTCTGCATTTTGTAGGTTAAAAAAAAAGAGAAAGAGACAAACCTTTGACGATTAATAAACACGAAATTGACGCAATAAATAAAAAAAGCAATAAAAACTAATGAAGCAAAGGCTTGAATTCATGAGGACATTTTTTTACCATCACAATAAAAATTGGAATCTTCTAAATGAAGTATGGAAAGTCATCAACATTCTCTTCATTATTATTTAATGTGAAAAAGAATATGTATAACTTCATATGTTTATATCAATTCGAATGTTGAAACAAAAAGATGAAATATAAACTTTATACAGTAATATAAAAGAGAATAAAGAAGAGAAGTAATTATAAATGAGAGAAAAAAATCTGAAAAAAGTTAACTAGACTGTAAGCCGTGACAATAACAACAAGAAAAAATTAGGTGAGAATGAAAAGAAGGGTTTAAACATGAACTTGTTATCTGACAGTATGTAGGGGGATAAAAGCAAGTTATATACGCTTAATGTATACATCATTCATATACAACAAGAAAGAGATTACTATTATCTTCATTGTTCTAAGAAATTAATCAATGATAATTACGTCTAGTGATCATCTATCTATCCCTACGTCGGTAATCCGTATTACTGGAGGTGTTTGGTCTATTTGATGACGACATCCTAGTCGATTGTGTATTACCAACGCTCGAACTGTAAAGCAAAAGAGAAAGACGAGATGAATAAGGCTGGTTAAACAAACACCTACAGATATGAAACATCCATCTTAAAAAAACACTTTTTGGTTATCTAGATAAAATCAGTTCCTCAAAATAATCAATCCCTGATAAACTACTCAAATGAGCAATTAGAGAAAATCAGCTAATTAAAAGTGCTGTGTAGATAATTGAAACAGAAATGAGAGGCTTAGAAAAAGCCAAAACTTTAGATTTTAATAAACGTGATAAAATCGAAACTATAGTTTGACTGCAAACGAAGGCTGTCAAAAATACTATCACAATGATATAGCACTATCAGGAAAATTCACTAAATTTCACTGGCAGATGTGTCAATATCAATCTAGTCACTATGTTATTTTGAGTTGGTACTGAAGATAACTCTATAATCCTGTCGAAAAGATCTAAGATTCAAATTGATAGTCAAACTGGCTATTATCAAATCACTGGAAACTCAAGTTATGAATAGGATGATTAATTTGCATGGTCTATGTTGATATTTCTCACAGCTGCTGACGAGTTCGGTTCGAAACGAGCATTCGGTGTTTAGAGCACTTTGATCTGGCTGGTGAAATCAACAGCTTAGCCTGAGTCATTTCTAACAACTCAAGCTAGGAATAATTTCCACCATACTGAAATATTTGCAAAGAGAAAAAGGTCTCAAAAGTTAGGCTGTCATCATAACTGCCTAATTCATTGAGATGAAGTTTGCATCACTAAAACACCTGAAGTTCAGTCAGTTAATACAAGCATATAGACGCTTTATTTAAGCAAACTTCTTTTTTTTTTAATAACTTCAACAGGATTCGAGGAACGGAAATAATGTGCATCATATAGGAAATTAACTACAAGGGAACAATAGAAAGAAAAACAAATAAACAGAAAATTTTCTCAGAAAACAACAACTTCTAGATGTAGGTAAACACATAGTTCAACTGTTAGTTCATCATTATCAGTAGCCTAATCCTCTTCTTCTCCTTCGCCTACCCTTCCAAAAAAAGGGAAACAATTTACGCGACATCATTTTTGGGAAACAGGCTTACAAGGAAATAAACACTTTCATCATTAGGATAGATGAACAGATAAACAAACAAACGGGTTTTAGGTCATCAAAGTGTTAATAAATATCAGTATGTTGTTTATGAAAGACATAAGGTTAAAGGGGATTTACCAAGAGAAAAAACGTTACAAATACTTAAGCACACAAAAACAATAACCACAGAAGAAATACTTTCTATAAAATGAACCAATTCCTATAAACAAAAAAAACTTCGAATGAAATAAGAGAGACAGGATGTAAGTAGTAAGAAAAAAATCACCTGATAGTTGTGAAACCACCTTAAATTAATTACTGTATAAGAAATATAGTGGGTAGAAACCTTTTATTAAGAAAAACAATATAAAAGAAAAATAGATAGAATGAACCACTAAAATAATTTAGTGTACATAGATGGGAAACAAGGCCAGCAAAACAGATGTTCGATTTAATAAGAAAGTTTAGTTTATCGGTGTCACAACACAAGTAGAAATAGATAAACGCTAGTAATGGCATTAATGTATGCAACTAAGGTTGAGTACTCATGAAAGCAGTAGATGGTGTTGAAGGTGTGAGGAATTGAAAATATTTCACCTGACTAATTAGCTAAGGTACCACCTCTTTCTTTCCATAAGACACTCACCCATATAAACTATTCTGATATTACATTATCTCTGTGCTGTTTGGTGCCACTAAAAAACCTTTTTGCCATTCTATACAAAGAAATCAACAATAAGTTCTGAAATAAATGAGCTATGACAGCTTCTGTGTGATACAGCATATCCTGACAACCTATGGTTTTTCAACTTGGTATTCATCATGAACTGACAGCAGTTGGGGGAACATTGGAAACCTTGAAGACCTAGACAGCTGTTTCATCCCTGTATAGGACTCCTCAGCAATGCGCACCTATGACCTCACCCCACCGACTGAGCCCAGGACCTTCAGGTTCCGTAGCCAGCACGTTACTATTGACCCACTGGACCGAAACCATTTTGTCCATACTTCCAATATGAATAGTTCAGTATATAATCCCCAAATTAAGTTGATTTAGTGCTCATTGGTTCCTGAAGTTCCAGTGAGAGCTCAGGACCGATGGATAAAACCTGATGGTCATGAGGACAAATACTCAAAGATGACACTAGGTGATGGTCACACCATATCGTGAACTGACAGAAGTTGGAAATATGAATCATAGGATTTCGACCCAGTGGGTCAATGGTAAAGTGCTGGCCACGGGACCTGAAGGTCCTGGGCTCGACCCCTGGCGGGAGGGGTCATGGGTGCACACTGCTGAAGAGTCTCATACTAGAACAAGACAGCTGTCCAGTGCTCCCAGGTTCCTAATGTTCTCTAATGGATGTTAGTCCATGATGAATACCAACTTGAAAAATCACTAAATCCCCAGAAACCCCCCAAATTAAATTGACCTGTGATTTGACTGATTGTCTCTACGATTATACTGCTATTATGCCATTCATGAGGAATTAAAAAAAATTGCTTAACTTTGAAATCAGCATTTAGAATACTGTCTAAGACGACAAATAAAAGTCCCATAAATCAACCGTCCAGTTCGGATTATGCAACACATCAACGGAACACAGCCCTATAGAGTAACAAATACAGATTACACAATGTTTTATTTGTCAATTTAAAATTCAAAAATAACCTATGATGACTTAGTTATCAAATATAATCTAATACCATCAACTAACTTGCAATCTTTCAACCTTTCAAATAATTCGAAACAAATCGCTTAAAAACTCAAAACATTAACGACGGTTTCCAACCAACAAAAAGTTTCATTTTATTATTATTATAATTATGAATATAGCGCTGAATAAATACATACTAAAGAGCAATTTATACATAAATTGAAATTACTACTTCTTAGTAAGTTTTTTTTCATTCGCACTCTTGTTTAGATGTCGATGGATGATAATAAAATATTACCAGTATTCAATCAGTGATAAAACTAAATAACTGAGAACTTATTTCGATAAACTGAATTCCTTAGATTCGAAAAAAGAGTCAAAATCGACCCAGCTAGCTAACTTGTGTACATTCATTCAGTAGAAAATGAGCCAGATTTAGTGTATGAGAGCTAACGATACTATCTGGTTGCTCGAAACCCGTGACCCATTGGTTGAAAATCAACTCGCTAAACCACTGAGCTGTAACTCCAACATTCAGTAGATTACAAAAGCTTTAGTGCTAAATAATATTTCTTACACCAAAAGGTGTTGACTGTATCTCCTTAACTCTATTGGTGTTTAAGTGAACAAGCACTAGGTAAAGACTAAATGAACATAAGGCCTTGCACACAAGTACATCTGTTCAGATTGCTACACAGAGGGCAAGCAGATAGGCTAAAAAATGATACTGAAGCAAATAGAACAGTGAATCGTAGGAGAAGGTAAGCGGAAAATAAAGAGCGATTAATAAAAAGTATGTACATATGTATCGTAATGATCAATTTTGAGTCGTACCATAAAGCATATCGAATCATTGATCTTAGGTAGGGAACCAATAACTCTCTACAGGACTCAAGACAAACAGTCAGAGAGCTGGTGGACTGATGTTGGATTTTTAAGTGATACCAGCAGTCTCTAACTACTTATCATCTTCCTGTTGTTGTCATGCATTTCTTTGCAGGAAACTTCAACTGAACAAATGATTACTCTTCATTATTCCCCCTTGATCAAATAGACAAAATCAACATGAGACCTCGCATAAAAGTGCATTGGCTCAAGTTGCCACACTTCATAGTAGTACACAATTTGAAGATAAAGGTTAGTGCGAATCTTCAAGCTTCAGAAGATGTCAAGGAGTGAATACATCTGCGTCATTATGACTGGTTCCCAGTCATGTCACCAAAAGTCCTCAAAAAATGATTCCTTTCGTATCGAGGACTCCAATCAGGCAGTCTACATCTCCCAACACCGCCTAAGTCAACAGTCAGGGACTTCACTGACTAGTGCCACTTCTTGGTCTGTTCATTTTGAACCATCTTCCAAACTAATCCAACTTCCTCTAGCATGGGACGTCGAAGATAACAGACACGAATATCCTGAATTATGCCAATAATAAACACTAAGTACTATGTTGAATCAAATTTACTCAAACATCTTTAGTCGCCAAATAGTACGTGCAAATATTATACGAAAAACTATTGAAGTCCCAGTCAATGATACATTATAATTACTATACACTGTGCTATGAGTTCGATTACATACGAAATGGAAAAAATTAAACAACAGTGAAAAGTCTTCCTTTGTAAGAATATGCAAACAACAATTTACTGATCTCAAGGGTGAAGATGTATTCTCGAAATATCCTCATCTTAATGATCATACTAAATTTCAATATTCTCTTATTCCCCCTCGCTCTCTTCCGACTACTCTATACCACTTTTGACTGCTTTCTGTTTTATTTTTCTATCTTTCATTTTAGTGCATTCTCGCTTGATGTACTGGTAGACGGTGTGGCAAGTTGGACCGCTAGTCAATAATGCCGGATTCTGTGTTGTTTTGTCTATGTATTCCGGCTAAACTGCTATATTCCATATAACCAAATATCGAGGTGAATGTCTTGAAGAGACGATAAAAACATAAAAATATTATCGTAGTCTACTTGATGGCTAACAATGGGATCCATGATGGATGTTTCGTCCCACTTTCGGGACTCGTCAGATGGAGATAGCAGCACCCTACTAAGTGTTGTTGTCCTTGCTGAGATTCGAACCTAGTACGCATCGCTTCAAACGTCAAAGCGTCATCCATTAGACCACCGGAGCATAAAAGCTACCTATTTTGCAACAGGGTATCAGCTATTGTTTATTGGTATTTGCGTTTCCCTTTCGCTATATACTCGGTTAAACTGCTTGACTTCTGTTGGTAGATGGACTCCTATGCGGAGCAATTCGATACAGTGTAGCAACG